ACAGGGTATGCTACTGAGTCTGTTGATATTTTGAATGCTTGCCCTGTCAAATTTTGTACAGAGTCAGTTCAAATTTGAAGCCGAGGTTGATATGTCATTAACAATGAAGGAACAAAAAGTAAATAAAACAATTAATAAATGTTAAATATATCTTATTATTATTATTAGTTATTGTTTGATGGTTCATTGTCCAATTCATTAATTATTTCATATAATGCTAAAGCAGTTGATGGTCAGTTGTGTCTTGAAGCATCGCCAACTGAAGGTCACAGTTCAGTGTTTGCTCACTCACCTCACGCCACTTTGCTTGAGGTAGGTATCATGTGACTATCATGTGATTATCATGTGACCTTTATTAATGCAGGGGGTAGAGCCAGTCCTCACTACATCAATACACAGTGCTCTTCATTCATTAGGAGGAATACAGGTATTGGAATGTTAATTTTTGGCATTTTATGATTATTTCCGTAATTACTCACTGAGGTACATCAGCTGTAGCTCTATAAGTTTTTACCATCTTTTCTCTCCCAATGTCTTCTAGTGTTAAGTTATTGTCATTAGTTTTTGAATTAGCTCGAAACTCAACCACTTACATGTACCAGCTGGTACAAATGAGCTCATTGATACCTCATCTACTCGGAAAAGTGCGGGAGAATAACACACACACACAACTGCTAAAAATTAATGATATTCTTTGTAATTATTATTATTATTATTGTAATTGTTATTGTTTTTAATATTGTTGTTTGTAGGTATCTCCATTACATTTAAGTGGAGACTTGCTTTCTGTTATATTTGATTTCTTACGTTATCTGTCAAAGTCTCCGTATTCTGAAGAGCTCATCCAACCATTAGTGGTGCAGCTGTTGTTTAATGCTAGTCTCTGGATCAGGGCCAGTAAGAAGGTAAGAGTATATTATTAATATACTATTAATATATAGTAATATACTGAGAGTGTGCAGGAAATATACTAAGTTGCGATTTAAAAACCTACACCTGCAGTTTGACTAACAATGTATTAACTTGCCAGTATCATCAATCCTCATGATAACCTCTGTAAAACAAGAAGTGATGTAGACATTACTTCCATATTATTTACATGTATTAGTATTCAGTGTAAGCTCTTGCTATTGTTTCTCATCATAATGTCTGATAGTGTTCCTCTATTGAGATCATCATCAGTTACTAGTAGGAGATGTCCTTATCGTTTCCAGTTCATTCACTCTAAGGGAGCACTACTGGTACTATTCTGGGACCTCATGATATCATTTAGTCAAAATTTATTTGTAAAATTTGCTTTACCCTCTGTTGCCTTCAGTGATTATTATTTTTTCATAAGATTGTCAATTTCTTTTCTTTACTTGATTGCTGGATATTTTGGTGATTTCTTATTCAGCAGATATAAAGTTGTCCTGATTGGATCATATTTTACATTTGTTTTATTAATTTCTTATGTAATTATCTTCATCATTCATTTTTCATTATGTACTTGTACATACTTACTGTTGGCCTTATTTGGACTAACATGGATTACTATTACTATTGTACGTGTTACTCTGTTACCATTCAATATTGATCAGCTCATTGGATCATCAAGTGATGAACTAACTGCTATCATACACTGGCATAATCTGGGATTTATCATTGCTATTTCTATTTCTGTTGCAATTTATTCATTTCATATAGAAATGCTACCTCTATTACTAGCTAGTGCCGTCTGCATTGCTGCAGTACTAGTCAGTCACAGTCTCTTCAAGCATTATCTTGATACTGCTCCAGTGAATACAGTTAATCCCTTGAAACTGATAGTTAGAGTATTGTGTTATGCCAGGAAGCACAAGTATCCTGAGAATCGTAGTGCTCTGACCTACTGGGAGGAAGAGGCTCCTTCAAGACTAGACCTGGGTAAGGATAAATATGGTGGACCATTCACAGAGGAAGAGGTAGAAGATGTGAAGACAGTTCTTAGATTAATACCACTGGTGGTTGTTTGTGGTGTGGCATTAGCATTATATGAAGAGAATGCTGTAGGACTAAGGCTTGAAGTATACGGGTGTAAATACCCTGATCGTTTGAACTTATCATTTTGTATAACATATGTATCTATCATTTTCCTCCATCAGTTCCTGGTATATCCATGTTTTCACAAGTACATTCCTAGTTTGCTGAAGAGAATAGGAATGGGTCTGCTACTAATAGTCCTTGTTAATATTCTTTACACTGGTCTAGCAATTACTGGTAACTATGAATTTGAACAAATGTTTCACTGTCTCACTGCTTTTGATAATAATCCATCCACCACTAGTAATCTTCAATGGATGATCTTTACTAATATCATTGATGCAGTTATATGGTATATGTACATTGTTGTTCTGGTTGAGTTTATACTTGCTCAGTGTCCTAAATCAATGAGGGGAAGTATAATAGGTTTGTGGTTCTGTATCTGGGGTTTGAGGAGCACTGTTCATTTTGCATTATTACTTCCATTTCTTCATTACATGAGTCCAGAGGTTGCATTGGGTCGTGGATTTTATCACCTTCTTACCCAGGCCATTGTATCTTTATTAGTTTTTCTTATTTATATATTTCTTGCTAAGAGATACAAGTTACGTGTGAGAGAGGTTGAGATTAACATTCATCAAATTGCTGAGGATCATACTATTAACGACATTGAACAAGAAGAGGAATACTGGAGGAGGAATCCAATAGAATCATTCTCCAGCCAGTCAACTGATACAATGATAATAATATCACAGTATTAAGAACTAGAATAATACTGTTTGAATCTTTTTTTCAGTTTGTGTATGTATTATTCACTGTAGTTAGTTGTTGCTTTCATTTCATAAATA